TTGGGAGTTTTAACAGTGATGAGGAGTTGTATGAATTTTATGATGAATAAAACTTGAGTTCAATAACTTTATGTAATACATTTTTTTTCAAATTTCGGGCCCCAAAATTAAGGTGCATCTTATACATGGGAGCGTCTTATACATGGGGAAATGCGGTATGTATGTATGTATGTATTTATTTATTTATTTATTTAAGCAGCTCCTAGATATTTTAGATATTCCATACCTTTCACCTCTCCCATATCTCCAAACTTTATATATCTTGTATACCTCACTGCTACTCAATTTAAAATATAGGCCCACTGAAAGGCTTTTAACAAGTTGAAATTTTTCACTATCCACAAATTCAAACCTGTCCTAAACCCAATAGCAAAAGTGTTGGTAACCACTTCATGGGATAAAAGGTCAGGAAAAATAATAATCACCATTTAATACTCTATCTACAAGGTCACAACAAGAATGCTCAACTGACTAGGAGCTCATACAAAAGAAAGAAGTGGTAGAAAATTACTAAAGAAGGGAAGACAAATTCATTTTGGCATGGCCAAGGTAAAAGAAATTTATCCTAAGTGAAATAAGGCAGACAGAGAAAGACAAGAACTATACGATTTAACTGTTTAACTTTTATGAGGAATCTAAAAAACAGAATAAATGAAATATCTTGAGGAGGTTAGATAAGAAAGGAGCATATGACCTTGTGCATTGGACTATAATACCCTCCTCCCTTCCTAACCTTTTTTTGTGGGTGAAGTAAGGCTTGAATTAACAGCACATTATAATATACTGGGAAGAACAAGAGATAGTTGGTTGGAAAACCTGGTTTCTTACCCATTGCACTGCTTGCCTACCAACACCTCAGTTTATTTCTCTGTAAAATTATAACAGAAATAAAAGACTTAATGAGCCAAGTAACCTGAAATTGCCTAGTAAACCATTACAGCTTACAGCAACCTATGGAGTGTAGTGATCCACACAAAGACTTGACCCGGAAACGAGAAAACTCTATACCTTCCAACCTAGCATGTAAGATATGGGTATGCTGAGAGTTCTGAATTATTCACAAAGACAAATGAAAGTGAGAAAGAAGGACAAGAATGCTAAGTAACTGAAAAGTTATTTAAAGGATTTATAAGCTTTTGCCAGTTAGAGGAGGGAAACGGGTCTCATAAAAAGTGAAGAGGGAGCCGACGGTGCATTAACTAACAAGCAAGAACAAGGTTCCAAAGGAATAAAACAAAAGGGTGTCTATGTGACTATGGCTCAGGTATAAAGTGTCATTTAAGCAAAACTGTCTGTGTCTATGGCTTTACCACTTCTGAAATATATAGTAAAAAAAAAAATCCCCCTTTTTCAATGAATACTTTATATGTTAACTACACGCTTTATGGCTCATAAAAGCAAAGGCATTCTTAAAGGAATTGCCGTTCTTTCTGAATTCTCCTGCCCCAAAGTCCTAGGTAAAAGCTGTCTGAGATACATCTTTAAGGGATATTTCACCTTCTTTGACAGGCATTTTGGTCAAAAGAATTCAGGGCTTCTAATTTCAGGCAGCAGGGAGAAAGCTACACCAGGTAGTTGACAAGAATATTCATTTCATTCTCACAACAAAACAATGAGGTAGGTAGAATCATCCTTATTTTACAGCTAAGAAAACTAAGGTTAGAAAGATAACTTAGCTAAGGTCAAACCACTAGCAAGTGGCAGAATACAAAGCTCTGGAACACATGCTCATTCACGGCAATACTCTACGCTATCTAGTGACTTGGTTGTTCTCCAATTGAACCAGAATATTTGGACACAAGTACAGTTTAGAACATAACAAGTTATGAATGTGGCAGCGTTCTATAATCTTCCTCCATTTATGACCTTTCACCCTCCCTAGCTCTATTCCATCCCTAACCCTTATCACTCCCTTAGTACTCATTTCACCCTAGACTCTTACTCCATCCCCAGCCTTGACTTGTATTGGAGTTCTAATCCCACCGCTGAGACTCTCCCCATCTCTCATCTCCATAGATGGGAACTACCTATGGGAAGATGTTTAGGGATAAAACAGTGAAGATGCCTGTTTCAACAATACTTGGCATTTTTAAAAAGCTGAAAGTTTAAAGATTTCTTGGTAATAGATGTATCAAAACTCTCCTGATTCAAAATAGTCATACATAAATATCCAGACCAAGTGTCCCTAATATCAAAACAGCTATGTCGTATCCGATAATGACCAGATGAAAATGTCAGGTGCTATACCACTGAGATAATTAACCCCTGAAATTATAAATTATAATAACTAATTCTATCCTCAGAACTTCATATGCATTTCTTATTTTAGTCTTAAAATAAGACAGTAGGTGCTACTGTTCATTTTAGAGTTAACAACAAACTGAAGATCAGAAAGGTTATGTCACACAGTAAGGCGGGGGCAACTGAGGGTAGATCCTACACAATCCATCTCCAAATTCCATGGACTTAATCAACATGTTTATTACTTTCTGTTTCAAAAATTTGAAGAGTAGCATAAAAATGCTAAAGATAAAAGTTTATTTTAAAATGACTCTTAAAAACCCAAAGTCTCACTTTATATTTTAACTTCAAATAGAGTGGGATAAATTTCCACAAATTTCTGACATTTGCTCTTTTATCCAAGTACTAATATCAAAGAAACATATATCAAATATAATTTTGGGTAATCATATTCTATGAATGTATATTTTACATTTTAATTTTGATGCATTTAAACTCATATCATTTTTAAAATTTATAACCTCATTAATTATTTTTAATTTTTAAAGATTTTTATTAAAATATAGCTAACATACAATGTTATATTAGTTTCAAGTGCACACCATAGTTATTCAATACTCATATACCTAAAGAAGTGATCACCATAAGTCCAGCAATCACCTGACACTGTATCACACTATCACAATATTATTGACTATATTCCCTATGCTGTATATTACATCCCCAAGACTTATTTGTTTTATACCTGGAAATTTGAACCTCTTATTCTTCTTTAGCTTTTTCCCCTCTTTTTAAAATTTTCAATTACAGTTGACATTCAATGTTATTTTATATTAATTTCAGGTGTACAGCATAGTGGTTAGACATTTATATAATTCCCCTGACTAGTCTAGTACCTATCTGACATTGTACATAATTATTAACATATTATTAATTATATTCCCTATGCTTTACTTTACACCCCCATGACTATTTTGTAACTACCAATTTGTATTTCTTAATCCCTTCACTTTTCACCCTGTCCCCCAACCCCTTCCCATCTATCACCCTGATAAATCTAGTACCCATCTGACATTATACATAGTTATTAAAATATTATTGACTATATTCCTTATGCTATACGCTACATCTCTATAACTACTGTGTAACAACCAATTTACTTTTTCATCCCTTCTCCTTTTTCACCCATTCCCAATCCCCCTTTCATCTGGCAACCAGGAAAATGTTCTCTGAGTTCATTTCTATTTCATTTGTTTGTTTATTGTGTTCCTTAGATTCTACTTATAAGTGAAATCAAGTGACAGTAGTCTCTCTCTGTCTGACTTACTACAATCAACTCAATACCGTCTGGGTCCATCCATGTTTTTGCAGATGGCAAGATTTCATTCTTTTTTATGACTCCATTGTATATCTGTACCACATCTTCTTTATCCATTCATCTATATTCAGGGACATGCAGGATTCCTCCACATCTTAACTATTATAAATAATGCTACAATGAATATATGGATACACATATGCCCTAGAAGTAGCGTTTTGGGTTTCTTCAGATAAATACCCAGAAGTGAGATTACTAGGTCCTTCTTTGTCTCTTGTTATAGCCTTTGGCTTAAAGTTTATTGTGTTTGGTGTAAGTATTGCTAGCCCACCTTTTTTTTTTTTTTCATGAAATATCTTTTTCCATCGTTTTAATTTCAGTCTTTAAGTGAGCCTCTTATAGGCAGCCCATGTATATATAGGTCTTGTTTTCTTATCCAATCAGACACCCTATGTATTTTGATTGGAGTCTTTAATCCATTTACATTTAAAGTAATGGCTGATAGATATGTAGTTATTGCCACTTTATTATTTATTTTATTTCTTTTTCATTTTAAAGTAGTCCCACTAAGATTCCTTGTAATACTGGTTTGGTGTTGTTGAACCCCTTTAGCTTTTTATTGTCTGGGAAGTTCTTTATCTGTTCTTCAATTCTAAATGATAGCCTTGCTGGGTAGAGTAATCTTGGTTGTAGGTCCTTGCTTTTCATCACTTTGAATATTTCATGCCAATCCTTTTGGGCCTATAAAGTTTCTGTGGAGAAATCAGCTGAGAACCTTAGGGGAGATCCCTTGTAGGTAACTAACTGCTTTTCTTTTGCTGCTTTTAAGATTCTTTCTTTGTCTTTAAGCTTTAGCATTTTAATTATGATGTGTCTTGGCGTGGGCCTCTTTGGATTCATTTTGTTTGGGACTCTGCACTTCCTGGGCTTGAATATCCATTTCCTTTGCCAGGTGAGGGAAGTTTTCCATCATTATTTCTTCAAATAGGTTTTCAATTACTTGCTGTGTACCCCTTCTTCTGGTACCCCTATAATGCAACTATTGGTATGTTTGATGTTGTCCCAGACGCACCTTAAACTCTCCTCATTTTCTCAGATTTTTTCTTTTTGCTCTTCTGATTGGATGTTTTCTCCTACCTTATTTACCAAATTCTGATTTGAACTTCTGCTTCATTGAATCTACTGTTGACTCCCTCTAATGTATTTTTTATTTCAGTTATTGTATACTTCATTTCTGACTGGTTTATTTCTTATGTTTTCTCTCTTCATTTTTGTTTTCTATCTCTTTATTGAAGTTATCCTTGAGATTATTGAGCATCCTTATAACCAGTGTTTTGAACTTTGTGTCTGGTAGATTGCTTGTCTCTGATTTGTTTAGCTCTTTTTCTGGAGCTTTGTTCTGTTCTTTTATTTGGGACATGTCTCTTTGTCTCCGCATTTTGGCTGCCTCCTTGTGTTTGTTTCTATGTATTAGGTAGGCTGCTATGCCTCCCAGTCTTAGCAGAGTGGCCTTATGTAGTAAGTGTCCTGTGGGGCCCAGTGGTGCAGTCTGCCTGGTCATGAGAGTCAGGTTATATGTGTCCTCCTGTTGTAGTCGAGCCTTCATTGCTATATGCATGTCAATGGGAGGGATTTACCCTCAGGCTCATTAGCTGGAGGACTGTCCATAACTACAGTGGAGGAGTTGTGGTACAGGGGCTGACCCTACAGAGCAGGATTTGCTTTAGCGGGGCTCTGGTGCCTGCCCAGTCTGCCCTTTGAGTGTGTCATTCTTGGAGTTGGGTAGTGCTCTGGCTAGGTCCAAAGCTGGCCACTGGGCCTGCCAGCCCCAGGGTCACCTGGGAGGGGACCCACTATTGGCCAGATTCTGCCACAGCCTATGCCCTCCTGGGGCTACCTGGCATGAGCCACAGAGTAATCCGCAGATAGCCACTGTCCACGCTGGGCTTGGAGGTACCTCATGAGGCCAAGCTATGAACCAAGGTCAGGTCAGCTGTTACTAGTGTCAGGCTTAGGGCTGCTCAGTCAGAGGTACAGAACATACTGAAGCCAGATGCTTCTTGTTTGGGTTTCATGGAACCTTTTAGCAATTTTAGGAAAGTCTGTAGTATGAGCCAAGGCAGACGTTTGTACGAGAAAGTGCTGGAAAAAGGTTGGGTATGCCCAAAAGTTGGGTGGGGTGGGACGAAAAAATGTTGTTAGCCAGTTTGTTAGAGATTTAGATATGGAGTCTGCCTGCATCTACATACCTTGAAGGGGGAGGACTCAACAAAGAAATAATGGCTTCTGCCAGCTCCTCCGTCCAGAAGAAAATTGCCCTTCCAGCCCTCACTCTAAAGCCAGACAACTCAGTTCCTCCTTGTATGTCCCTGGTGCTTTTCCAGATGCTTCCCAAGTGCTAGAGCTCAGAGTAAGTGAGTCCGCCAGTGAGTAAGTCTGTTTGCAGGCCCTTCAAGAGGAACACCTGGGACTGAAGCCACCCTCTGTCTCACTCAGCCACAATCTCTGCTGGTTTTCCCAACCAGAAGTTACGGGGACTTCTCTCTCTGGCACTGAAACCCTGGGCTGAGGAGCCTGGTGTGGGGTTGGAACCCCTCGCTCCTCCAGCGGGGAACCGCCACAGCTGAGATACCCCTCCCTATTTTTAACGGTCACATATGGATCTAGGACCAGCCCATTACACATTTCTGCCCCTCCAATCAGTCTCGAGGTGGCTTCTTCTGTATGTCCTTAGTTGTAGGTTCAGCTAGACTTCAGGCAATTTTTAATGATGATAGTTCTGTAGTTTAGTTGCAATTTTGATGTGGTTGTGAGAGATGGTAAGTCCAGTGTTTACCTACTCTGACATCTTGATAGAAAATCCCTCATATCATTACTATTAAAGCTTAAAATCTTTAAGTCTGCTTCCTCCAATCTTTCTAAATAAAATCATTTACTTTTAGGAAACGATCACTACAATTTGTGGCCCATCCTTTGTACATTATAATGTAAAAAAAATGCATGTACATAATGTATCAGACACACCAATTTTCTGTAGTGCTAATAGCAACTTTCTTTAAACACAAAAAAGAGAAAATTAAGCTACATAATAAGAAAATCACAAGTTGGTGTAGTAAATAATTTATAGAACAATATAAATCCCATTCATCAAGTATGTTGTTCTAACACAACATTTAACATCTTTTGGTTTTCTTACCTGAGAAAATACAGATAGTAACACCACAGGTTATATGGAATGTTCTGCTTTTATCCAACAGTCTTCTGGTTCTCCTGCTTGGAACCTAAACAAAATCATTTAATGTGATAAAAATGATGCAGCAAATGAAAACACGTGTACAAAGTTTTTCACTATAGCATTATTTGTAATATCAAAGTTTTAGAAATATGGCAGAGGCCTCTCAATTAAACATGGTGAGATGAATTGTATCTAGTTAGTGGAACACTCAAACCATTAAAGAGAACGTGAAAAGGTTTACTGACATGGAAAGATGTACAAGATATATTGCTAGATAAAAAAGTTATAGGGCCGGACGAGTGGCTCAGTTGGTTAAGAGCTCGCTCAAAAGTGTGAACTCTGAGCAACAGCGGTTCAAGTCCCGGCCTGAGCTGAGCTGCCAACAGGTGGCAGGATGGCTCAGCTAAAAAAAAAAAAAAAGTTATAAAACATAAACTGCACTATGATCCTATATTGTTTAAAATTAACGGCATTATATCTTAACATATCTGCAGGCTTTTACCCCCAAATCGTAATCAGCAGCTGCTCTGGCAGAGTAATATTAGGGGAAACCTTAACTGATCACTTTGCAAATTTCTGGAATTTTTGAATTTCACTATATAGATGATTTCCTTTTGTAATAAAAAATAAGATTATTTTGTTTAAAATGAAACAATTTCATGTATGTTTTCAAATGCCTGCTTGATCTTATAGAAAAATAATGTGTCACGCATCTTTTCAATACCTGTTATACACTGAGGCCAATTCTTTAAGACTTATTAAACACTGAAAGACTTAGGTGGGCACTTTTCATTTCCTGCCTTTTATCTTCTCTTCCTTCATGTCAAGCCAGTGGCCAGCCACAGGGATCAAAACCTAGCATTTTACAATGGTAGGCAACCAAGAGAAAAAGTTATTTCCACACATTACCGCATTGAAAGTAAAGAGTTTTCAAATATAATTGCATGAAAAGGTTGAGAAGTTTTACTGTAGTAAATCTACTCATAAACTTCATAAAATATCAAAGTGACCTCATGCTGACAACACCTTTTAAAATATTAGTATCTATCCAGCAGTGCCTTATTATCTTAATGAAGAAAGGAATAAACACACACACACACACAGACACACACACACACACACACAGAACTGAAGACAAAAGAATTTCAGTGGAGTTTTAATTTTCAAAGTGCTTTTGTTTTCTTAAATCCTTAATTTTACAACACATGATAGTACTATTTAATCAAGACATCTTTTTCTGAGCCTATTACATGTCTCAAAATAGGTCTGTGTTTTAAGAAAATATAAATTGCCACCAACACCGGCAGTCATTCTATGTATTGCTCAAAGGCCACAGGGCTTGAGTTTACTTGCCCGCATTTAACTAAATAAAAAAAACCAGGAGCTCAGTGAGACATGGCATAGTGAAAAGAGCTCAGAACTGGTATCGGTCTTAGATCTGCCATTCACTAGTCTCCTATCTTCCTCAAGCTACTTAAACTCTCTATGCCTCAGGTTCCTTATCTGCAACACCCAATCGCAAAATCATTGTGAGGATTCAAGTTATGCATGTGAAGTGCTTAGCACAAGGCCTGATACCACTATTAAAATCTTTTCCTATTAATCTCTGCCCTTATCTCTTGTTGTTACCTAAAATAGCTCACTGATTATCTTGAGAGGTGACATAGTCTTTACTGGCATCTTTGAAACAATCACTCTCACAGAAAGTCAGGCCATGAAAACTAAGTAGGATCAACATGCCACGGATACAGTTGATTTTTATGCTGCAATCTGTGACTAGGATTTTTTTTTTCTTACCTTCTGGGATCCTCGAAGGTAAGCCAGGATTGTCCGGCACATGGGTAAAAGGATAAGGCTGCAGTTGAGGTTCAGAACAGATGCGGAGGCTCTGCTTAGGCACAATCCTAGCTGAACAAATAAGGCAAGAGTCAAAACACAGTCAAGGACAAATGTCAACTACAAACATGCTTCAGACCTTACCCTGCTCCTTCTCTAAGGTTCATGGCAAATGTCAACTTCTTCAAGAGTCTTGAATAACCCTCCACTTTCCTCTCACCAAAACCCCCAAAGAAACACTGGTCTTCTGCTCTGCACTGCTGTAAAACATAGTCATCTCTCCTTTCTACTAGTGTTAGAGTGCATTCTTCCAGCACGAAGTCAGTTTCTTGTTCCGCTCCACCATGCTGATCTGGGTATCAAGAGCCCAAGAGAGCGGCGGTATGCTCTGCGCTTCCACACTGGTGCAGTGTGGAATCCACTGTTCATGGGTCAGGAACCAAGAATTTCAAACAAAGCTTTTTCACTGGTGTTTGCTCTGTTTTTATTTTTTATTTATTTATTTACAGTTGACATTCTCTCTCTAGAATACTCCAAGCCTCCACACAACCCTCTTCCACACACCACCACCTGCCTTTAAGCTCTTCACCTTACTAAGTCTACCCATCTTTCGGGTCTCGTCTTAAGCACAACTCCTCTAAGGTTCGCCCCTGACCCAAAACTAGGAGAGAGCCCAGATCAGCTGTGCCTCAAACAAATCTAGTCATAACTACATTGCACAACATATTTTTCAAAGAATCAGCCCCCTTCAGTATTGATGTAATACTCTTTGACAACTAATTATATTCCAACTCTTGTTAGGTTGTCATCTGCTATTGTCTGATACTGTGCAGTCTTCATATGACTAGTTTACCACATGAAAACAAGAGATGGGGTCATGTCTGTACACTTGTCCTGAAATAAACATAAGACTACTATTTTAAAGATATCGGCTAAGAAATAGATACAAGTCAGATACTTCTCTTATCTTGAAATGGTTCATGCTCCTAAGATTTCCAACTCAAGTCTTGACCAAATAGCAACTCTGTTACACAGTGTTTATTATCAGCATATGAAAGGGGTTCCTGAAGGGGAGGCACGGTAATAAATAGTGTCAGGAAAGCAATAATTTTCATTGACTTGTACAAAAAGTAATTAATATTTCTGGTTAAGCTATTTCTACACCACACGTCAGAATACTGTATGGAGACAGTTCTTTGAATATACCAGTAACTGGACAAATAGAAATAATCCTCTCTGTACTATATTTTAAAAATATATTAAATATAACTTTCTCACCTCAATCAGAAAAACTATTACCATTGGAAAGTGACAGGTTTTTGTTGCTTAGGCATCCAGAGAAATAAAATAATTGGTATCTCTTTTGATCTGATATCTGCATATGATAAGAACATTTTAGCTCGAGTGATTTTAGATATTTTTATCTGTAATTTTAATGTACCAGGACAATACTTCATTTAAATTACATGAATTGAAATCTATCCTACTAAATTTAGGACTTAAAGGATACAAATAAATTATCCAAATTTCCTTTGTGGTTCAATGCTTTAAAAAAAGTTCTTATATTTCTTTATTTTCTAACCATTTTTTGCACCTCTGCAAGTGTTTTCTTGTTGTGTTTACATTAAATCACAGAGTAATTTAATACAAAGTGGCTTTAAGTGTCCCTTTGGGATCAACGAAGTTTATTTTGGCATTCCACTTCTTCCTTATGAGGCTGCAAAGTGTAACCAAAAATTTTACCAAGTAGTCCTTTCCTTATATATGCTCATTGCTGAATATACTTAGTACTTTAAACTAAGATGAAAACTTTTTATTAGGGTATCAGAGTACAAATTCCCTCATTCAGAAGCAGCGGAGAGAGTGGGGGAAATGGAGACGGATCCTACTCATGTGGCACAATCTTACTACATGGGTAATGTTGTACAGACAAGCATTTGCCTTATTTAGTCATTATTCATTCATGACCTTCATAAAAATCAGCTGCCTCAAATGTTCACTAAAAAGAAACGACTGCCCTAAGTTATGCTCCTGACCCTTCTGTGTGAATAACTTGTTTTACCCTTCCTAGGGAGCTTAACCTGCTGGTCCAATTTTCGAATATCGTTCAGGTTAGTTGGCACTAGATGGCAGTGTTACTTTCACATTTCAAATCCTACCTGTGAAGGTCTCTAAAACATAATTAACTGAGAATTCCATATGTAATTTTTAAAAACTATAAATACATTTTAGATAAGTAGGTATAAATAAAACACAGCTTAGTCCTTGCTATAGATAGAATATTTGTGTGCTCCTCCACCCCCCAAATTCATATGTTGAAACATTATGCAAGGTATTCTGAGGGAGAAACTTTGGGACTTGATTAGGTTTAGACAAGATCATGAGGATAGAGCCCATGATGAGATTAATGTCCTTATCAGGAGGAGAGGGAGACCAGAGCTCTCCCTCTTCTCCATGTGAGGACACAGCACCCCGGTGGCCATCTTCAAACCAGGAAAAGGGCCCTCACCAGATACCAAATCTGCTGGTACCTTTATCTTGGACTTCCCAGCTTCCAGAACACGTAAAATAAATGTCTGTTGTTTAAACCACCCAGTATGTGGTATTTTGCTATAGCAGTCCCAAACTAAGACAGTCAGTCCTATAGTACAGAGAGGATTATTTCTGTCCTATAGAAAATTATAAGAAAAGGTGCCATTTAAAGCAAGTTGTAAAGGAATATAACATCTAGATATATCAACTTGGTGGTTATTCTCCTAAAATCTCAAAATCATGGTTTTTAATCTTAAATCTGCCACTTATTAACTATTAGTCTTGAGCTAGTTAACGGTCCTTATCTATAAAGCTGAGAGGAATGTCTTTATATGTAAAATTTATAATTGTAGTATTCTTAGCTCTTAGAGGACTTTTGTGAAAACCAGTCTAAAACATGCAAACACTGTATAAAATTAACTTATCGCCTCAGGGCCATTGTATCCCATCCTCTCTCTAAATCTTCTCTTCTAAGTGTTCCACTTACATTTTTTATTCATTCAACACTTGTTTATTGTGACATGCACATACTGCAAGGCACCAGGAGCTCAATAATGAGCTTAAAACATGAACTATCTTTTGCCTTAGGATGCTTATATTTTAGTAGGGGAAACAGATATTAAATTAAATAATTACATAATCAAATATAAAAGAGATCAATGTTGTGAATGAAAAATATAGAGTATGAGCATGCATAACAGGTCATGAGATCTAAATAGGAAAACCAGGAAGACTTCCTTGAGTAAGTGAAAAAGTGAGCTGAGAACTGGAGGGTAAGAGAGTAGAAATCACCTAGGAATGAGAAGGGCATCTATGCAGGAAAAAACCAGCATGAGAACTGGTATGTAGCAAATCGGAGCATGGTGTATATATGAGAAATTAATAGTAGACCAATGTGGCTGGATGGGAAATGAAGGGTGATACAATATAAAAATAGGGGTAGACCTTGCTGGACTTTGTAGGCCATGTTAAGAATACAAACTTTTAGGATTTCCAGTCAAGATGGCACAGTAGGTAAATGCTGTGTTTGCATCCTCTAACAACCACATCAAAATTACAACAAAATGACAGAACTATTATTGAGAATTGCCTGAAGTCTAGCTGAACAGGAGTCCTACAACTAAGGACCTACTAAAGAAGCCATATAGAAACTGATAGAAGAGGCAGAGATGCAAACGGGCTGATCCCACACCGCTGTATGGCAATTAAAAATTGGGAGGGATATATCAGTGCAGAAGTCTCCCTGGAGGAGCAAAGGTTCCCAGCCCCACACTAGGCTCCCCAGCCCAAGATCCCAGAGCTGGAAAGAGAATTCCCCCAACTCCTGGATGTGAAAACCAGCAGAGATTGTGCTTGAGTGAGACAGAGAGCTGCTGGATTGCCACTTAAAGGGCCTGCACACGGACTTACTCACTGATGGACTCACTCATTCTGAGCTCCAGTGCTGGGGCAGCAGCTTGAAAGGCACCAGGGACATATGGGAGGAACTGTATTGTATGGCTTCAGGACCAGGGCTGGAGGGGAAGCTTTCTCTTAGACAAAAAATACTGGCAGAAGCCATTGTACCTTTGTTGAGCCCTCCCCTCTTCCAGAATACAGACGCAGGCAGGCACCATATCTGAGTCTCTGTCAACCTGGTGAATTTGCCCTGCCCTGGTGATTCCCTGGGACCCTGCCCTACCCAACTTGTGGGCCCACCCAAGCCATTTCCAGTGGCTTTTACATACAAATGGCCTGTCTTAGCTCATGTTGCAGACTTTCCTAAAATCTCTCAAACATTCACAAAATCCAAACAAGCAGCATCTGGCCTTGGTTTGAGGACTGGCTTCTCCCAGGCACCTCCAAGCCTAGCATGGGTGGCAGTCATCTTTGGATTGCTCTGTGGTTCATTCCAGGTGGCCCTGGGCAAGGCAGAGGAAATGGCTGAACTTGGCGTGAAGTAGAGGTCCTCCCAGGAGGCCTGGTGGCTGGCTTCGGAACCAGCCAGAGTACCACATGGCTGCCTACATGGACAGCACATCCAAAGGGAAGACTGGATAGGCACCAGAGTCCTGATAAAGCAAATCCTGCTCGGTAGCTTCAACCTCTGCACAACAGCTCCTCCACTGTAGTCACAGCCAGTCCTCAAAACCAGTCAGCCCTGGTTCAATCCCTCCCATTGACATGCAAACAGTAACCAAGGCTCAAGTGAGCAGGAGGGCATATAACCCACACAAAGCACACGCCTTAAGTACCTGGCTCTGGTGACCAGGCGTACTGAGACACTGGACCCCACAGCACACCTACTATATAAGGCTACTCTACTGATCCCGGGAGGCATAGCAGCCCTACCTAATAAATAGAAACAAACACAGGAAGGCAGCCAAAATGTGGAGACAATGAAACATGTCCCAAATAAAAGAACAAAACAAAGCTCCAGAAAGAGAACTAAATAAAGTGGAGATAAGCAATCTATAAGATGCAGATAAAGATCTCAGTGAGAACTTCAAGAATAAGATAGGAAACATAAAAAATAAACCAATCAGAAATGAAGAATACAA